TTTTTTTTTTTTGGGATCGAACTATGTGTAGCACCTTCCCCTCCCCTCTCTTCGTCCCCAATTTCAGTCCTCTGAGAAGCAAGATTGTTTTACGACCATTTATCGGCCATTGCTATGTAGGTACAGTCTGCAGGAGTTAGTGTGTGTCTAATCTATACGAGCTGGTCTTGGTAATGATCTTCGCACTCCACTTGTACGACTCTCTTGCAGACAATGCTAGTTTCATAAACTCTCCAAGGCTGTCTGGTTTTTACTAATTGCCAAGGTTGCACCTTACTCCTGGTAGGTGAACAGCTCAGGTGGTCATTTATGTATCGGAATTTTCAGGAACTTGAGTTTGTTACGTTGTTGAACTGTCTTTCGAACACTCACCGAGTGGGTGCATTGGGGTGACACCGGTTCTTACCAATAAAGGCGTGTGTTCTTACGGCATTGGTGGCTATCCGTTTGGTGTGGTGGTGGGACCGAGGTTGAAGCAGAAATGGCAATAATAAGTGGCTGTATTTGCCGCCCAGACTCAGGTGCATAGGCAAGCCAAGAAAAGATAAAAAGTACCATGCATTATCTTTCGACCCTTGTGCAGCTGTTTACAAGATCTTTTATCTTAATTGGTCTCCGTTGGCATTTCGCTCGTTTTTTTTACTCCTTACTGCTACCTGTGATTTCTGGGCTCCTGGTTATGTCAAGAGGTGATAGCGGTGCATATTGACCTCCGTATTTGTGTTTGTAGCGGATCCAATATTTGCTCGTGCAGATTTACCCATGGTTTATGTCAAAAGAAATGCTCTTTTTGCGATTCGGTGAAGTTGTTTTTACTGTGTTTACTCAGTCGTGAATACTTGTTATGCTGAATTTTTGGGCCTTTCCCTGCTCATCCTTTCGATGAGAGTCACATGCCCCTTACTGGGTTTTCATTCGTTTTAAAGACCATTAGCTTAAATAGCATGGATCGCATCACTTTTTGGTGTTTTACATAGTGCTGAATTTGTTGGAATGCCATAAAGTTGATTTAAATAATTTAATTTTTCGCATGATCAAACGAATTCTTATTTCTAATGTCTGAGCTAGTGCCAAATTCTATGGCCTGAGGAGTCTATACTTGCGCCACAGGGACAACCATTGGCTAGCTGCTCACTGAAAAAGATGCTGAGTCATTGCTCGGTCAGTCTCTTGCTAAGGTGTTCTTGCTGTTAAATCCCCACGCATGCGCCTGCGCTCATCTCCCACTTTGGCAAGCAGTTTGAGTGAAGGCGAAATTCAGTTCTTTCTCGAATTGGAGGTGGGATTTTATTGGTGTATTTCTCAGCTTCTTTTTTGTGTCTTTGTATTTTTGCTGATTCTACTGAGCTAATTTTCTCTCAGTTTCTAAACTGAGGGAGGGGGAGGTGAGGGGGGAGGGGTGAAATCAATGGACACTGCTGTAGCTCCTGGCCTGAGAGTTTGAGGAGCCACGTTACGCTGAAAGTTGCGATAGACAACATTAGGAACATTTTAAAGAAGAACGCTCTGGTCCTGCCTAGGTCTTTATGCTCGCAGTTTCAGGCCCCATTGTAATAATTTTTTCCGTACGCAATAAACTTCCGCAGCACATTTTTGCAAACGATAGTTCAAGGCTGCTTATAGGACATGCTTCTCACCCACATTTGCTATTACCATCACTTACCTACCTATCCAGAAAGCTGAAGAACAATCAAGGAAGTTTGAAACTCTGAAGCAAGATCTACTGTTACGTAAAGTTGACTTTACGTGGAGCTTTTCTTCCTTGCTTCACGACAGACAAATTCGGTGAGTTTTCTTCCGTTTAGTTGTTGCCATTCACCCTCATTTTCTTCTTCATGTATTTGTCCTTCACTTTGCAATCATATGAAAGTTTGGGGTTTTATCGCTTTACATTCTCCAGAAGTTGTTGCTAGAAACTATGCAATTCTTGCCTGTTTGCATCCTTTTCGCCACTTTTATCCAGGAGAGTTAATAGTCGATGGAACCGCAAGGTTTTTATCCAAATTGGGTGATGTTGCGTCCCACAATTTCAAAGGAAGCATAGGTTTTACCCACAGGTGTTGTGCCCATGATTTTTGAATATCGGCACTATTGTTCCCATCCTTCATGCTTGTTTTAGGTTTAACAATGGTTGGGTGATCAAAATCGGTCGGGGTCTGGATTACATAAAAAACGAACCTCACAAATTTGTCGGACTCGGTGTTCACGACTTCGACTTTAGACCCTGCCTACAGACTACCATTGATATATTCTACGAGGGCGAACCTCCTATTTAGTTTCATTTTTGTATTTCGTCTAATTGCTTTTCTAAACCTTTCACCTGACTAATGTTTCCTAATTCACTGTCTGCTCTCAAACCCGATTCCCATCTTAAGTGTTTTCTACTCCTAGGTTGGTTTTCGTGGATTCGTTTTTTTGTAACTATCAACTAGAACCTGGTGTTCATTTGTCATAAATTCATTTCATTATGGATAAACTCGATTTTCACCGTGCGAAGTTATCCTTTCTCGTTTTCGGTGGTCGTCGCTGTCAGGTGACATCTAGCGCAGAAATAACCGTTTCAGAATCCAACTGCGCTCCCTCGTCAAATCAAAGAGCTTGAAGCAAGAAAGCCTCTACGATCATCGCAGGGCGGTTTTCATGGTTTTTACCTTAACGGTCTCAGATTAGATTTTGTGGTCAAATGATGGTACCTTAGTGTATTATTGGAACTAGTTCGGTGCCTTCGGATACACATTGCTCATTAATGCTCTCATTTGTGGCCATTTAAAGGGATGTTATGCGATATTCATTAAACCCAAACTGGGGTATTCTGTCGATGCGCTTTCGCTAAATCACTGTGTTTCCCCTCTTCACTGTCAGCCAAGTTCATTGGGGTGGTTGCCCTGACATGAAGCTGAGACATTTTCTTTCAAGTTTTGCCCTTATGCTACCTCGAGTGGCGAGAAGACTTATTTTCCGCCACTCTAAGTTATGGATTGGCAGGTATTGATGCTTTGGTTCCCTCTAAAGAGAAAGTTCCTCTTATCTATACGTTTATACCACAGAGCCCATTTTGACAAGTGGGTATTCATAGTTTTGTATTTTCGGAAGTACACCTCATCAAGAGACTGACCTACGTTGGGGATAATACTCAGTGATTGCAGATGAGCAAACCAGCTGCAAATTGTCTTTTCTTTGTCTTGATGATGCACATTTATTTTTGGTAATGCCGAAAGTTTAGCTATTTTTACCGAATCACTCTGCATATCTCTTAAGATGTAGCCGTATATCCGTTTTAATCTTTATATCCAGTTGCTCACTAATGCTTGCAGACCCCTAGACGAGAGCTGGTCCTTTCATCCCATTTAAGGTGCGGATTTTCTTGTACAGTAAAACAACATGATTTGATGGATAGTCCGTGGCAAAAGATAATTACTTTGCGTAATTTGAATGTGGATCTCAAAAGTTTCTTTGAAATTTCCTATGGTGGTTAGTACAGTTGGGATTGCTTTCCCTAGTTTATCAATTTTCCAAAGGAGTTCCCAATATCACTAGTTTGGTCGAAATCGCCCACAATTAAGAGTACTTTAATGTACTTCTTCATTAGTCCGTAAGTGGCAGCAAATTTTTTTGACGTTTTGGAGGAAGCGTAGTCTCCTCACGTCAGAATGCTAACAGCCCCAACGTTTTTGCTTGCATGGTGGCATATGGGCAAAGGCGGTTGTAGGAATCAAACCCAAGTGTTGCACCCTAGGCGGCCAATTTTTGTTACAGGCCATTGGCTCCTTGTGCGTTCGCATGGTGGTCTTGTAATCGCATTGGTGCTATTTCCTGTCCCATCATTCTAATGTACTGTCGCGCCCTTTGGGGAAAAGTGTAATGAGACTTACTGCCTCACCGTTTTGTCAACGTCCGGTTTTCCTGAAATGGAAGTTTACATCACTTTAAAACTCGATAAATCAGGTGTTTTTTGGCCCATTAATAATCATATATTGTGGGGTACGTGCTCTGAGGATTGGTTTAAAAATTTACTCTGGGTAAGGTCCGCATTGGTGTTTGTCCGTCAGTGACGACATCAATGTGCTTGTGTGGACATTGGATTTCAATGTGTTGAGGGTGTAGTATTCGCAAATAACTATCAATAACTAGGTAGTGGGAAAATTTGGATGGAAGTAGTAAAATCTGACTCCACCAAGCTGGTTAGTTAACGTGGCGGCCTGTTTCAGTTTGTAGAAAGCTTGGCTTTGTTTTGTAACAGCAGACCGATGTAAAGTGGCGCAATGTCTTGATGTCATTAAGTTGTCCACCTAATTTTTCAGAAACATAGAGTGACTACTACTACTACTACTACTTTCCAATTTGTATAAGTACGGCTGAATTATCGTTTAATGTTCGGTCTTAATACCCAAGACACTTAGCACTAGCATAGTTATGATAAGTGTTGCAAGTGTATCAA